AGCTGGAGGCTGCGAGGAAACCCCTGAGCACAGGCACGGGCCTCGTTTCCCATGGCCAGGGCACCTGGGCACAGAGAACGCAGAGACGGCGGCAGAAACCCCACAGCTGAGTGTGTGCAGGTTTAGAAAGGACCCTGTAACGATCCCCATGGGAAAACAGCCCTTCTCCTTCAGCACACAACAAGCGGCCTCTTCCAAAGCGAGAGGCAGCCACCAGGAGATGGCGGCTCAGAAACTGCCCGCAGGTTTTCGACCTCCTTCACAGCCACCCCGCTGGCCGCGGCGGAGATGGAGGAGCAGGGCTGGTGCCAGCTGAAAACCATTACCTGTCAGCCTGGGCACAGCACACAGCGAGGAGCTACTTCAAAACAGGTAATATAAAATGCTCCATGGCATTGACCTGAATGACAAGTACAAGCTGTCCAGGGCAACTTGAGCTTTTGCAAATTATTTTCTTTCCTCTCTTTTTATTTATTTATTTGAGCCTATCTCCTCCATTTTTATAAGTATTTAAATACAATATTTAATATCACTTCTGCTCTAAACCAAAGAGCAGACCTCCCCATTGGGTATGCCCATGCTGCCAGGAGAGCTGGGCTACTCCCAGCTCCTGTCTTGCCTCCTCCGTTCCAAAGAAAAGGGGAAGGAAGTTGTACACTCAGCTTTATTTCCATTTTGGGAATGTCTACATAATCTTGCTTCATCTCCATGGGTGGGGAACAAAATATTTAAGTTAGCTGATGACGCATTTGTCCTAAAGTAAATTGGACTTATTCTTTTTCTCTCCTTAGGCTTGTTTTTGCATCTATCAGGAAAAAGTCCTTCCTAGAATCGGAGGAGCTCCCTGGAGCAGGGGCTGTCCAGCCCTGGGGCAGCACAGTATGAGTTCCTTGACGCCCGACAGTTTGACCTGACAGGATAAGGACCAGTGCAGTGCAAGTACTGCAGTGACAGAGCACAATACAGAAAATCAGAGGTGAGTTCCCAGAGCCCTGTGCAGCCTTTGCTTTTACAGGGAATTAACAGAGAATAAGATCAACCCAAAGGAGACGGTCCAGGTGCCAGAGGTTGAGGGTTTGGACGCTGTCCTGGGAAACGTGTTCCAGGTGTCCCTGTGTGAGCAGCGGGTTGGATTTGGTCATCTCCAGAGGCTCCTTCCAACCTCAACCACTCTGTGATTCTGTGGTTCCATACCCAGATCCTCACACGATTTCCAATTCCCTCCTTCTCCAAGTCAGCTGATGACATCCCACATGAGAGCACGTTGCCTCGATCTTGTTCAAGAAGCTTCATGGCAACGAAAGGAGCTACGAGCTCCATGCAGCACAATTTATATTGAGGAACCCTCTTCCTTTCCCTTTGTTACAGACACCATTCAGGCATGCTCTGCATTGCAGCACCTGTTACGAGTATCCAGGCAGCTCCAGCTCATTTATTCCTCCCATTCCTTGGATGCAGCTACCATGGTAGCTGCTCTCTGTTCATGAAATGCCAGAACAGCCAGACTGGGCAGAGTAACACACGCTGCTATTGCATCTCATCAGGGAGGAGTGTGAGGGGACCGTTGGTTTCTTTAGCTTGGCCCCGCTTCATCCACTTCTCTTTCTAGGTTACTTCATTTTTTCTCAGCATATTCCCCTTCTCCCATGTTAACAGCAGCTTCTCCAGCAAAAGCAAAACTCGAGATACAAGGGGAGAAACTAGGTGGCTGTGTAGCTAAGGCTGGATCTCTACCCTGCAATACTGAAGAGATTCCCCTCTCTGCTTCCCTTACCTGCACACCCAAGTTTTGCAGCTACTTTTGTCTCTATGGAAGAAATCTCAGCTGGATTTTCAGCAATTCTCAACTCCACCCTGACACTTTGCTTTCATTTTTGAGTCATCACCACAAGGACGCTCTCCCTGTCCAATCTTGCCTATTTGTTTCCCCTACTATTTCTCATTCTTTTTGTGGGGCCTATTTATCTACAACTGATTTTTTTCTGACTCAGGGCACAGATCTCCAATAATTTTACCACGAGCAAATATCGAGGCTTTATGGTGAAACAACGCACTCAAAGCTGACTTAGTGAAGTTCAGTAACCAACAGCTAGCAAAGATAGGGGAAATTTTTCTTTTTTTCAGACTAAGAACTTTCCTTTACAGTCTTAAGGCATGGAACTGAAGTCAGGAGTGCATCTCAGTGAGCAGTAGGTCTCCAGGTTCTTTTCACCGACTAGTCCCCATTTCTGATTAATTTCTCCAGGAACCCAGCATAAAGCAGAGCTGCTGGGGGCTGGCTCTGTGCCTGTGGCCATGGAAGCCTTTCAGTCACCAGATCCAAAGAGATCCAAAGGGCTCTGTGGCTTCCCGCTCCCTCCTGCTGGGCAGGAGGGCAGCTCGTTCCCCCTGCCTGTGTGTGACAGAGGGTCTGTTCTACTTACAGATCCTATAAGAGAATAGGTTAAGAAACACTTAAATAGATTAATGAAGGGAATCACAGAACAGATTCTGATCCTCTGAGCATCTGAGATCTCATCTCAAATAAAAAGAAAAAAAAAAAAGGAAAAAATAATTTCAAAGTTATTTAATGGGTCAGTTCTCTAAAATAGTAATTTAGAAAGTTGCCCTTCAGCATAGCTGGGGATTATATACATTGCAGAATCTGGTACAAGTAAAAGTATATATGGTTACTATAAAAGAAAACTTGTAATTTATGTCATCATCAGTTTGAAGATCAAATATTTGTTCACCTATCCTGATGGGCTGTGCTGGAGCTTACTCGGTGCACTAGCACAGAAAGCATCATCTAGATTGCTAGGAAAACACTCAAAAGTGTTCTCCCTGTAAAGATGAGGATTATTTGTAGCACACGCCTGAGGTCCTGCCACAGAGAATCCCTCACTGCTCAGAACCAGGCAAGAAAAGGAAAACAACCCTTGAGGTGGAATACGCCAGCAAACACGACCAAAACCTCTCCCCTTTCACTGTATGAGAAAATCCTCAACTCTAGACTAGTGATTTGGACCACATCAAATAGGAAGAAAGATTAAGGCAATTCTCAGGCTTGGGGTAACTGAGAAAAATCAGTGGAACTGGTCTTGACCACAACCAGGACAAGCTGTTGACTTCAAAATACCAAAGCTCAAATCCAGAGCCTCAAGCCCCATTTCCCTGGATTACTGGCGAGGCTGAGCAAAGCTCAGGGCAATTCGCAGCGCCAGAGAGCACTGCTCATTCCCAGCTCTCATTGAGCAGCTGGCCTTCACTGGAGCTATGGCAAAAGGCCCCTCATCCTACAGGCTGAAACTTGATCCTTTAAATAAAGGAATTGGTGTCACTTCCTCAGGCTCGGGATAGTGCCAGGCATCTCTACAATGCATGTCATCCACACAGAAATAGGCATTCATCTCTAGTTGTTCACAGTCATTTTGAATTGATGCAAAATGCTGTATTACCAATAATTCACCAGGCTGTACGTACAATTGGCAGGTGAAACACCATTCCGTAGAGCAGGATACGGCCTCACCCATTGAAATTTCCACTCTTGCTCAGGGCAGCGTTGTGCAAGAGCTGCTCCCTCCTGCATGCTGTGACCTTCCTGCCTGGCATTACGTAGGTTTCTGCTGGAGCTTCCAGCTGCTGGAGAAAGGTCCTGTAGCCCTGCCCGGCATCCATCCATGTTACAGCTTCCAAAGGGAAGTTTTCCCATCAGCTCGTGCAGGAATCAAGGTCCTGCTGCCCTGGGAGACGCTGGCCAGGCCACACCAAGCACGAGACCGGGAGGCACCGGCAGCCGCCCCCATGCAGAGGGGCCCGCGGGGCGGCTGCCGCAGCCTCCGACCAGTCTGGCTGTCATTAAAGCGGGTGCCTCAGCTGCAGGTCTCCAAAACAAGTAATGAGGCTATGGGGACAGCTGAAAGCACCCCAGGAGGAAGCAAAAGCAACAATTTCCCCGTTCTACAACTCCTACAGCTCTTTGAGGCTGACAGGAAGCGCTCTCCCTTTCCCCCCTTCCTCTCTGGACTTTTACACATTTCTGTAGAACGGGTTTCCATTCTCGGCGTTTTCCCCTGGTGCTGCTTCCTGCTCCAGGGCTGTTGGCCTACATGGGGGACACCTGGGCTGCTCGTCCCAGCCCTGGTCTCTCCCTGGTGCTTCTGCCTCGTGCTGCACCAGGCAGCAAGAGAAGTGTAATGCTCCACTGAGAGCAAATTACCTCCCCCTGCCCTCAGGGACCTGTATTCTCGGGAACCAACCTCCATCTACGAAATGCTGAGGGAAACAAACTTCTCCATCAGGAGGTGCAGGAAACCTGGTCTTTTACCCATTTACAACTCTCTCTTCCAAACATACCTGTTCGGAAGCATCAGTAGGTAAAATGCCCCATTTTCAGTAAGTTTAACACATAACTCCTCAAAAGTCTCACTGGATTTACAGTTTCAGAGTGGCAGATACAGACTGCAACTATATAAATGGACTGCATACAAGTGCTGAACACAAATTCAAGTAGTCTGCAATGTACTCTGCTAGTTCTTTCCTTGGTGCACCCTAGGACGCACAAGACCCACGTTCCCTCTCCCACAGCACCAGCTGGACAGATCCAGGACATCAGACAAGCTCCGGGGAAATGACAGGAGAACAACTGATAGAAGGCAGATTCATCATGAATCTTTGTAATGTCATTGTTGTAAATGAAAAGTTTAAACCAAAAGCAGGTATTTTAAACTAAAAGCAAGAGCCTGAGATGCTCTGCTTCTGAAAGGCTGAAGAACATCTAGGATTAAACTTTTTTTTTCCTTTTTAAATTTTGCAGAACACTTGGAAAGACATGTGGAAGTTGTTCCTTTTATGAGACCCTTATAAAACGGAAAAATTAAGTTTGTTTACATTTAAACACAAAGCAGCTAACTTTATATAATCAAGAAATGGAAAACAATTTTTATTAACATGTTTTACATTTACAATCTTTTATTAGCTAATCAACATCAACATGCAAAAATAAGCGCTAGATACAAACCTCTACAATATGGTTTTGTTTAAACTACAATGGTTTAATTCTCTTGAAAAGTCATAAGGATGTGTTCTGTAGTCATTAAAATTGAACTATTAGTTTCAGTAATGAATACTATTTAGACCCTAAAATTATGTAATCATCCTGCAAGGCATCTTCAGAAACTTCGCCCAACACTTAAGAATACCAGCTCATTTTCATGTGAGTACATTCTCAAAGCAAGAAATAAGGCAGTAGCACTAATGATTTCATATTGAACCCTATGCACATAACTAATAACTTTAGAAGGACTTTAACACTATGGTAGACTGGAAAAAGAACATTTAAACAAGCAGTGTACTTTGCCTGAAATGTTCTCAGTTTCTCTTGATACTTATGCAACCTCCTTAAATTATTTGGGTTTGGAAAAAGACTTCATACTCCTTCAAACCAGTCCCTAGTTGATCCTCCAGAGAAGCCAGTCTTGTGTCAGTGACCTCAACATCTTCCCATGGAAATAAGTTACATGATTCGTGGTCAGGATTACTTCACGAGAGGATCATAAAGAAGGCAAGGAGTTGCTCAAAGGAGAACATACTTGTACTGAAATCTTTGTTAACAAAAGGGTCTTGGACAATTGTGAAAAACAGGGAAGGAAAATGGACTTAATTTCAGATCAGCTGTAACTTTTCCCCCAGTGCAAGTGTCCATCTCCAAAGAAAGTTAATCCTTTAGAAGATGAAAGTACTTTTGAGAAGAGTCCAATTTTTGACCTTATGTTACAAAACCTTAACAATCAACATTTGCTTTTGTTTCTATTCAAGTACAAACTTAAGTCATAATTCCTCTCATAACGAGTGTTTATTGTTGCTCATTGATCTTTGGTCGCAAGAAACAATAATGCCACCGACTGGTCTGATCCCCAAGGCGGCGGATTTTTGCTTCTTTGCCACACATTAAGGCCCCCCCCTCGGCAGGGTATGCCAATATTCACTGTGTCAAATCCCAGCGGCACTTCAGCACGTTTTATGGACCTACATGATGTAGACTTTCTCAGCCTGTGAGAAGTTGAAGACTTCTTTGGTTCTCGGGCAAATTACTTTGTCATCTTGACGAATAGAAAGCAGGGACTGAAACGAAAAACGAAAGCAAAAAGATAAAATTCACAAGAGCAAATGCAGATCAAAGCATCACTTAACTGTTGTTAGCGGAAAATATTTTTTGTTGTTTTGGTTTTAATACAGGTACTGTAGTCTGAGGTCAGAATCCCTTTCCCATATAAGCTCCTCACTCTATATATTTATGCTCCAGAATGGAGGATTTCCAGGGGCATTTGAATTTATTTTATAAATTTATACATTCAGAGGTTAGCCTCTTTAAAGACCTATTTCACTGCAAAAAAAACCCACAATAATTCTTAAAAAACTGTATAACAATTCAGAAATTATTATACATTAAAGTATAAGAAGCCACTTTTTTGTTAATAGAAAAATACTTTTGATGCTTCTAAGTTTCTGACAGAAAGCTCTTATTCTCATACAGAACATTATTACGAGCACAGCTCTTCCGGACTTTAGTAAGTCATTGATTTAAGCACTTACATTGTATCCGTAGACATATCCATTTGGTAGCATCATGGGAGGGTTATTTTCGTTCATTACATCCCCTGAAATCTTGCAGACTAGTCGGGAGTTGGCACAATGTGCCATGGGCAGAGGCTGCGCCAGCTTGTTCAGGGATTTGCTACACACGGGGCAGTCTGGGTTTTTGGAGCTCCCATCCTCTTTATAACACTGTCTGTTTAACAGCAAGTTAAAGAACAACAGCACGGAATGCAGCAAGAATTAGCTCGTTTATCTTGCACACCGGGAAAAGAGTTAACCGCAGATAACAACCAGGTTACACAGCCCACAGAACTGCTGGATTCAAGTTTAATGGGCACCTGCAAAAACAAATCAGGTGCTTTAGCTCTTTCAAGAAAGAGCAAGAAGCAGCAGATGTCTAGTACCCTCCGTAGAAAGTTTCTGACTTGGAGCACATTAGTAGCATCAATGCTTCCTTAATACACCAAGGTGTGGGGTAAATTCATTAAAATACAGGCTCTCTTGAAGCTTAATACCTTCATTTAATACAGCTGCCGATTCATACTCCATTTAAACAAGTTCTAAGCAAAAATAAGCAAGTTTCAGATTTCCTTTTTGAGCTCTGAGAAGCATCTCTGAAAGACAGGGGCCTGCAGAAGGACTTCTTTGCACTCAACAGTTTAATCTGCATTAAAGGATACGGTGTTTTTATAGCTGAAAGGCCTGCCTGGAGGGTTATAGTAAAAACAGAATTGTTTCCCAGCTGATGCAGCCTGTAGTTATCATATCTGAACTGTTGGATCAGCATTCTCCATCGAGCGGGGTCCAAGAGATCCTGTCAGAGACAACACAGCTATAAGTTGTTTTCAGTGCAGTTGTCTAGGGAGAGGGGCAAATGGGGCAAACGCAGGGGAGCGAATTGCAAATAAAACCGGACATGCCCATGACCCTCGTCACTGTACTCAGAAAGTACCTTTGAATACTGCTTTCTCAGAAATACACTCTAAATAAAGCTTTGTACAAAGTTTCTGGTGTAATAATACACAGTATCCAAGCTTACCTTTTAAGATACGTGCACACAAGCTACCTAAAACGTCAGACCTTAGCTCAGAGAGAAGCTCCACAGCACGGGCAGCAGAAGGCAGTTACCTACACAGAGGTCCATGGGACCTTCCTCACACACTCTTCCTTGCTCCATCAGCCACAAGCTCCTTGCAGATTCCCGTCTCCATCCACCACATGGACTAAGGCTGGTAGCTAAACCCAGGCCGGGTTATTTCCGTACTTGGGTTTGGGAGGGCTGGAGAACTTGGGACGCAGAACTAGCGCTGAGGAAGCTTTGCTTTAAAACCACCAGCGCAGCAACAGCCACGGACGCTTCTACCTCAAGTCAGGCTAGTTCTGCTTGGTGTCTATTGAAGTGCCTACACTGCAAAGGGGTGTCGAAGTTCTGGTTTCCCTGCAGATAGAGGGTTGGGATGGAGGGAGGAGAGGAGGCTTGAGAAGCTGGCTAGGCGAAAAGAAAAAGCTTGGCGCGCGTTTAAGGGAAAAGTTCTTTAATATACATTGCAATGCTGTGGCTTACCTAAAAAACCAGCAGCAGTAGCTGAAGTGGCTTATTTTAATGGAAACAAGAACTAAGCCCCCCGAAATTAAGCATAGTTTGAACACTAAAAAAATGCTGAGAAAAAAATCCTATGAAAAACTGAGACCTCTTGAAAACATCCTGGTTCTGATGTGTGCAACAGGCCAAGCTCTAATCCTTTCTTTTCCTGCTACCTCTCCTCTTGCTCTGTATCTGCAACCTGCACCTCTTGTTATGGGTTATCTCGAGATGTCTTAAAAATAAGTGCAGTATTGTCAGCTGTACATGCAAGTACGAGGCAAGCAGAACATACATATTTTTAGTGTATTATTGCATTTCTTGAATACATTTTTCAAGGAAAGTCACTGGAGGACTGAATTATAGGCAAAGGCGCAGAACAGCAGCCTCAGTTCCAGACGTGTGGCAGGCAGAAACCCTGGGGCGCCAACGCTACCATGACACGGACTAGTTTTTATGCTTCTCTTTCTGCAGTGCAGCCCATCCTGGCTCGGGGGGGTCCACCCAAAAAGCAGGATGGGGTGGGAAGGGCTCCAGGGCTGCCTCCCGCTGCAGCCTCTGTGCTGACACTGCCCCCCGAGGCAGATCCCCAAGGTCTGCAGACCTGCAGAAGTTTTACAGCATCATGATAGATTTTGGGGGTATTGGATTTATAAAGGTTCCTTATCCTGAGGGATATTATATTTAAGAGAAATATATTTAAGAGAAACTTGAAGCATCCTGCTGAAGCACAAAGAGCTGACATGGACAGAATTGTGAAACTACATTTGGACAGCAGCTCTCTGAAGAAGCAGAGAAGCACTTGTCCTTTCTTTCTCCCTTTCACCCCAAGCTCAGCTGGCTAACAGTGCTCTCCCCAAAGCATCTCTTGGAGCAAAGCACAGGATTGTTATTTCCTCCCTCTCTCACTAACTAGCTAAACCACCCTGAACTCTGCCTCCGTCTTTTAACACATCTGTGATTCCTACTCTTACCTCACACCAAATGTGAAGTCTGAGACAAAGAAATTCATGCTAGTTCTGTTTCTTGCATTTTTTTTCCTCAAATGCAATTAGTTTCACCATTAATAGTCTTAAAACATGTTTATACTAGTATGGCCATACATTGGCTTGGCATTTTAGAAAATTCTTGTCTTGCTTTCTGCCAGTTCAACTCTTATCTACCTTCCACCTCCAAAGCCAAGTAAATAAACACACTCAAGAGAAATCCACAGCACAGAACCTGAAGACATACAATTAGCACCTAATGAAACTCGGTTGAAATGGCGGAGAAAAAGCTACCAGGGCATTTTGTTCAAATCAAATCTGGGTAAAGTTACTGCCACCAGTATCTGCACTAGTCTGTATAATTCTAATGCATGAACACGTACTTTTCAAAATAGAAAATATTGCATTCAAGTGGCTAAAAGGCAACTTTTCTTTTATCTGAACCACAAGGACATAAATTGAAAAAAGCACAACTAAGAATTGCTGTTGGCCAGAGCCTGGCCCCGCACACTGCTCCAAACCATCCCTTGTTTCCCTGCAATTCCCCATCCCTGTGCTGCTTATTTGTGCATCGGGCTCCACCCCGGAGACCTGTCTCCTGTGTCGGTGGGAAGCCTGGCTCAGGGGAGCCCTTCCATGACTGGCAAGATCCAACTGCAGTAATGACCCAAACACTACTTGGATTGACTAACAACAAAGGACAACAGAATTCAAAAGCGCAATTAGAAAAATGTTTTATCTATAGAACTTTATTCTCCTGCAAACAAAAAGCCCACTTTAGCGATCTGCTGTATCACTGGCTTTAAGCATTAACTTACCTTATAGGGGGAGATATGAGTGTCCGAAGGAAAAGCCAACATGCCCATCACCTGCCGAACTTCATCCAGCTGGCTTCCCTCAGCCTGGCTGAAATGCTTTCTCGCATGTCTGAAATACAGAATTTAGAAACAATTTTATACCTAATAGTGGTCTAAGTGCATTAAGTTTTTCAAGTTATACAAAATTTCTGAAAAAAGCTTGGTATTAAATGCACAAAATCTATAGGGCTACTAATTTAAAGGTCTTGAGAAGTCTGTCCTGTGAATATGAAGTGCAAGAGTCCTCTAGCCTTTCAACTGCAGGATTAGTTCAGCATTTTGGCCCAAATCCATGTTTTCGGAGTAGAAATGTCATGTAGTAGATTGAGTAATGAAGGACTGTACTGAATTTGGCATTACGTAAAAATAGAAAGTTCTTTTGTGCTGCATTTCTCCCCAGTTTGTTTTATGGGGAAGACACTGAGTTTGCACAAACACCCAGTAAAAAGTTCACCGCCTTAAATGTTGTTTATATCTCTTTAAAACGTTAAATTAGTTTCAGAAATATTCAGTATTCCTCAACTGCCTACTTTATGAGATGCATTAAAGAGAAAAAAAAAAAAAAAAAAAAGAAAGCAGGTAGCTTTATTTTCTGGTTTTAAGTTGTGCTGCACTGACCGATGCGGTCACTGATACCGTGAGAACAGTTTCTCTAGCAGCGCTTCCACGTTCCCATTTCCTCCCCCACCCAAGCCAGGAAGCAATGGAAGGGATGGAGGATGGATCATTTCCACCCAGCTTCCTACTTTTGAGTGAGCAATTTGGGAAGGTAAATCCTGCTCTCCGGGTGATCACTGTGTAATGATGGCAGATGTACAAACCCCAGGGCTTGAGAGAAGAGCCCAGGCAGCCTGAACGTACCTGGGCAGGGTTAAGGCAGGTGCTAGTGGGGAGCTACTCATGGAAACAGCAGCTCTTGGAAAGAAATCTTGGACAAAGCAAGACTTGAGACCTACCACCAAATAAATAACTCATCCTACTAGATGTGCACACATGAGCAGTGGGCAAATCACAATCTCTTATTTGCTCATACACCTTTACTTATAGTTTCCCTTCTCATTTAGCCAATTCTGCCTTCAAGGTCTCAGTTAAAACTTTCTGCTCTTCTCCATTCTGTGACAGCAGTAGCCCTAGAAGCCTAAAATGTCACAGAATGTGTCCCCTTTTTTTTGTATTTTTTTCTGAAAGCAGGAGAGACAGCGATGCTTGGAGCAGAATTCAAAAGGTGCAGATGTAACCACAGCCCCAGACAGCATTTCTGAAGAACCAAAAAGAAGCATTTTGCTTAAGGCCAAGTGTCTCCTCCTCTCAGCAAGTTTATTGTGCAGATGTCTAAGGATTTCTACAATCACTTGTAGAAAGATCTCTATTAACCTTTATGCCACCCATCATTTGGGTGAAAGGAGGAGTTCTGCCACCAAGGTAAGGAGGCCCCATGGCTGCAAACTGCTTCACTTGAACGGCAACACTGCACAACCTGAGCCTGGTGTCTCCTCAAGCGACAGCTCCCCAAGGCACGAAGGAGAAGAGTGCCCTGATTTTCCCCAAATTCTGAAAGGGCAGGCTCTAACTGAGGCCTGACAATGTGAAACTCTTCTCTAGCCGTTACCACATGTGTTTTTGTGCTGTATCTCCTCGTGCAGAGGATGTGTATCCTGGAGACCTGCTATGGTCAGAGAAATGTGTAACCGTTTCTCGCATTCCCGTGAGTGGGCAGAGGCACCAGCCAAACCCTGCCCTGTTTAGCCGGGTGTTCTCGCTGCCCTCAGTGCCCACATGGGCAGAGTCACAGCAGAGAGGGCTGTGACCAGGGCACCTGGCTGGGCAGTTTGCAACACGTCCCTGAGGAGGAGCTGGGGAGTTTTGGTGTTCCACATCCCAGAGCAATTCTGCAGCTCTGGACAGACAGAGCCTACTCTTCTTGGTTCGAAATAGCTGTTTCTCCAACCCCAATAGGTACAACAAACATACACTGTGTTTGACAGATGCAAGAGAGAAGATTCCTGCAAACTTCAGAGTTTATCATTTATTTCCTGCTATTGGGGCAACACATGAACAAAAAACAGAGAGTTTTGCCTCCTACATGAAGATATTCACCAGAAAGCAGCAGGAACTGAGCCCAAACAGAAGGTCCTACCCGAGAAGGGCACTGTCCTTCCTGCTCCGTTACCCACTGAGCACCTTGATCTCAAAGACTATCAGCACCACCAGGAAAGTGCCTCAAAGGTCTTTATACTTATCCAGCTGTTCACAACAAATCCAATCCAGATCAAACCCAGATCCAAGAGATAATGGGGAAAGTAGCTGTATATGTTCACTCATACAGGAGGAGAGTTTACTAAAGTGAACACACTGTCCCCCACTTTTCTCCTTCTCTACACCACCACTGACTATTTTTGTTTACCTCTTTTTGTCCTTTATATTCCAAGAACAAATAAACCCACGCGGTGTTTTGTTAAGCTTTAAGCTGAGCACCTGCTAGGTTTCTCTGCCATCCCATAAAAGCAAAGCAGCAGAATCCTGGCAGTTTCTCCAAAACAAAATTCAAGCTCCCAAAGTGTGAAATTAACATCATCACTAATTGACTGTCACTGCAACATGTGACAGGTCCTGGCTCTGAAGAGGAGACTGCAGGAATTGCAAGCTGAGTGTGATGGACTTCAGCAACAGTGACATTCACGCCTGGCATTAAACAAATATTTTGAGTATGTTCCTGAAACTTGCACTTTCAAGACCACTCCAATAAGTTACCTCAGAGCAAGGTCAGTTTGCACCCATCACATTGCAAAAAGCTACAGAAATGCAAACACCGCTATTAAATGAGATATGTATTTTTAAAGCTCACATCAATTTTACCCTAAAAGCAATATGTCACTCTGGAGCTTCCCAGCAGGCAGCAGGCAAAGCTTTCAAACTTATTTAAACACCAGCTGCGTTTCAACAAAATGTCAGCTCTCCGAGTTCCACTCGGACAGGAAACTACTTGGTAAACAGCCTCTTTCTCCGCTTTCTAATGGATGCCTGACCTATTTATTGCACCACAGACACAATGCTGAAAGAATCCCGCTGCAGGCACTTAACAGAAGCAAGCTAATAAAAACACAAGTTGCAATGGTTTGCTGGAAGCAAAGAGATTTATGCTACACCTTCCTAAAACATACTCCCTTATTCATCACGTTTTTCAAGCAGAGGAGAAGGAAATAGCAAAAACATTAACATTGGCTAAGCTGTGTTCTTTAAAGAGAACATTGAAATGCTGCACTCGGAATGTGACTGAATTCACTGAATATGAATTAATTCTGTTAAAAGGAATTAGGACACAGAAGAACTTCTGTAGTTCCTTTTCATTTATCTTGCAGATTTGAAAAAAAGAATATATACACATATATATATATAAAATATCAAAGCAGTGTTATTTTCACTTGAAAGTTATAATTGCCAAACAGAAAAATATTTGGCCGACTCTGAATTTCAATAGACATGAAGGGGTATAAATATTTCATCTCTAGTAACATTTAGTCTTTGGAATCTATTTTAAATCAGCGAGTACTTCTACATGTTTCAGCTGCCACATTTGGGAAGAAAGCTCTAAAGAAGAAGTAAGCTAAAGCCAGGAAAGGCAACGACAGCACAAGCTACTCCACACCAAGAGGTCTGGGTCCTAAAACGACGAGGGGGGCAACTGTGAGTATCACTAGTGCAGTGGTGGGAAAAGGAAACAAGTTTCCAGCAGCAACAATAAAACACAGAATGACCTTATCCACTTTGCCCCAGTTCTCAGCCCATCTCCTTATTCCCGCTCTACCCCTGCCCTCTGGTTTCCAGGCTACATAAGGAAGCTACGGCTCAAAGAAAATAAGTTTAGAGCAGCAGCTACTCATTTTTAAGATGCATGACTGCACATTTGGCAAAGAAGGGACATTAGCAGACAATAAAGGCAAGTAGCACAAAGGCAGAGCATTCAGGGGATAGAAAGAGCATCGTGGGCTGCAGGAGACAGATCAAGTAGTTGAGCGTCTATCACCCTCCTCGTAAATAAATTCCTCAGCATGCAAGGGGCCAAGCACAGGGCAGGTGCAAATACCTAAACGGCAGCACAGGGCAAAAATAAACTTAAGGCCTACACATGCCAGAAGGAGCTGATGCTCACAGAGCTGCACGTATACGCGTGAGCAAAAGGAGGATTTAGGTGCAACTAGGGCAAGGCAGGAAAGCACTGGATCCGAATCAAGGAATAAGCAACTGGCAACAAGCTACAAGACAAAGGGAGTCGCTTGGAAAGCTGTTAGGATCACACTGGTTCTTCAGCATACTTGCACTGCCTCCTCTTTTTTGTATTTTTAATAGGCTTTCTCAGCCATTACAACCATTACTTATCCATATGCTCTTTAATGGGATATCAGTTAAATTTTTTGATAGATTGACAATAATTTCAATGGGCATTAACTATTAGAATTTCATATTAAAGCCATGCCCTACCATAAAAACAAGCAGTGTGTCCTTCATCTTCCTCTTGGAGCTACTCTCATTACCCTTCCTATTACCTTACGGTTTGTCTTGTGCCACCAAAAGCCTCAAGTACAACAGATTACCTAATTCAATCTAATTCCTCCACAATCTAAAGGTAAAAGAGCCCCTAAAACTGACTGACATACAATGTTTCCAGCTCAGTTTTATTGTTAGCTTAAAATTGCCTTCTTCCCCTCCTTCTTCTCCAAAGTAAGTCTTTACTTACAAAGCTAAACCCCTGAAATGATCTTGGAGAGGACAGGTAACCTTCCACTGGCAAAAAAAAGAAAGCTTCTAACTCCTCGACTCCAAACCAATCTCAAATAAGTCATGCAATTCCCAGCAGTAAACAAGTGAAGTGGGAGAACACAGGCTGAGAAATACTATGAATTAGGATTAGTATTCCCCAATAGGTTAATACCTCTAAGGAGGTTCAAAACCACTTACAATGGATTGCTTAGACTGCTCTTAAAAAGTCTACATCTTGGCCTTGCTTTACTCTTTCCACCCTGCATGATGCTATAAGCAGGGAGCAGTGGGGCGAGGTACTCGGTAGGTTGGCAGATATTCCAGGACTGGCCAGAAGGGCCCAGCTACAGTGAGAGCTCAGCCTGCTGCAGCAGCAGCGTAAAACAAGGACAGCCCAGAACACAGGTCACCTTGGCTTCTTTTTCTGTGCAGGGTCAGCCCTCTGGTTTGTCTGAAGCTGAGGACTGAGCGGGTTGATGCTCTGCACCTGAGTTATGATGCTTGGGTTTCCAAAGCTCTGCACTTGTCCCAACGGACTGTGGCCTCCTGCCAGTTTCAGCAACATATATAGAGTAGCCAAGGCACTCAGACTGACAGCTTCAATGTAAAGTTGCCTGAAACACTAAGCAGCAACTGTGGCATCACTAGAAAGTAGTGGCCAAGAAATAAATCTTGCCGTAAGCTTTGTCTCGTGGCCGTGTTGAAATGTTCTTACAGACTGGAAGCTGCTGCAGATCCCTCTCGCCCTGCCCTGCGCGAACTCCTCTTCCTCAGCCTCTTCAGCCTCCTCTGTGGTGCTCCGGAGAGTTTTCAGCACCTGGTATTCAGAACCTGCTATTAAAGTATCCCTCAATTTGGCAAAAAATGCTTTTCTGTGTTACCCTGGAATAGTATCTCAGCACCTCAAACGAGGAGCACTAACAAGCAGAAATTGCTTCATGCACTGATATGACACACAGAGCAATTAGCTGTCTTGTGGTTGGAGTGAGGCTGGGACCAGGGTCGACTGTCAGCTCCCGACTCATCCCCTTGGCACTCCTCCTACTCCTGCCCTGCCAGAGAGGGGGGCTGCTCTAAAAGGGCTCCAGAGAAATACTGAGCTGCTTTATTTGGGAGCAAAGGGGAATGCACAGGGATAATTCAACATAGCCACCCCAACAGAGAAGACAATACAGAGCTTCAAAGCATCCATTCAACACAAAAGGTAGATCTCCAGGTTAACGTTCCATCAAGCTTTAGTTTTTTTTTTTTTTTTTTTTAATTAAATTGCAAGGAAAGAAGCTAAAAAGCTACTTGTACTTTTTGAAAATTACTTAAGGGTAAGTATGGTCATTACATTGTATGCCACCAGAAAATAAGTTTATGCATATACATTAGTTTGTAGAACAGCTCAACTTGTAGACCTTTGATGTTGAGAATATAAAAAAAGATGGAGATTTTCAGTCAAAACAATTTTTAAAAAGGTGCACCTGGAATGATGTTATGCCTTTAAATATTCAACCCCAGCTTAAATCCAAAGACTGATCACAGCAATGCTAGCGAGATCCTTGGCTGCAGAGGAGCTTCTGGGTGCTGCAACAAGTCACATGTTTCTAATGAAGCATAATAGCATCTGGTTAAGAAAACTGTTTGGTAAGCATCCTAATTTCATACCTCACAGCATCCAGTCTCTTGTTCTGCCGAATGAGTTCAATGAACTCCTGAATCCTTAGGCTGAACTCCAGACAGCTCTGAGATTAAAGACAAGAACAGGTCTTAGATGGTGCCAACACTGCACTGCACAGTAGGTTATGTATGTAAAGTACTAGGTGTGCACAACAAAAAAGAAAACAGTGTTAATAACATGCAGTCTTGTTTGCTTGCTTTCAGGTATTCATGCAAAAGAAGCCAAAATGCTGATGGGACAGATAAGGCATTGGCACAAATTCCCCAAAAGCAAACAAAATGTTTCTCCTCTCGCCTCCTGCACAGTTTCAACATTTAGCAAGGCTTGACGTTTTCCTAATGGCCGAAAGCATCATCACCACCTGGGAAGCAGGTGAGAGTTACAGCGGCTTCCTTTGTACTGCCACACAGTTTAGAGCAGCAGAATCACCAGGAGTTTGGGGCAGGTGGCAGTTCAGACCAGAGAGGTCTGTCCAGAGGGCTGCAGGGAGGACGTCTCTGAGCATGAGCTGAAAGCTCTGCCACGTTAACACGAAGGAGCAGAGAGCTCAGGTTGCTGCAGGGTCCTCCCCACTCCCACCCCTCAGACTTCTTTCTTTCCCTCTTGTGAGGCCTAGAGGCCAGGCTGGAAACAAACCTCCAAACATGGAAACCAAATGGCATTTACCTGGTATCAGAAAAAGGTAAAACGTGAAGCCTAATGAAGTTGACAGTGTCCCTTTAAATCAAATTCCATCAAAAAAAAAAATTATAAAAAATTTGATTATGTAGAATTAAAAAGACTCTCCCCTCATAAAATAATAAGTTGCTATGCTTCTTTAGGGACACAGTGACAGGGACACAGTCAACTGTTCTATTACCTCAAATTAAAACAAAAACAATCAAAGTCCTCTGGCTCTCTCTCAAAAAAAAGATATTCCTTAAGTTATCCTGCTTTACTCAGCAAGTGTTTTTCTTCCCTCATGCTTATAATGAATAGTTGCCTTTTGTTTATTGTCTATCAGCACAATAATATCAAAATTCCTCCGTGACACTAGAAGGAATTCAAGCAATCCAGGTTTTTTCTTTTTTAAATCAGTTAACTGCTTGTGGTAACTAATGCACACATTGCCATAATTACTTATTTTAGAGTTTTTTTTCCAATTCTACAATTTAAAACTGAAACGTGATTTGGAAATAGAAATTATGTATTCTGATACGCATTGCAGTGCGCTACTTTAAGACATAGAAAATAAATGGTTTTCCAACTTGACATTTTCCTGTACTCAAGTCTGGATCTAGCAAAGAGCAAGATTTCTTCTCTCCTGTTTGGAATTTTCAAGTAGGATATTTTAAAATACTCCATTTTTTAAAATTGATACAAAAAATCTTCATTTGAAATTTGAAATGTGTTTCCATAAGAATAAAGAGTGAAGAGTGACTGATCTTTTCAATGATACTAAATCCTGGGGCTTAACATAACATTACTTAAGAGCAAAAAAAACCAACCCCCCCCCCACACACACACAAAAAAACACCCCCACCCCAAAAAAAAAAACCCCAAAAAAACCCCGACCCAACCCCGCTATATCCTCAAACAATTTTCAGTTACTCTTGCTTTTTACAAGTCTCCAGGTAAGCTGCAAGGCAGCAGCTGCATCGATCCTGCACAGGAGTGATGAGGACGCCTGCAGTGCAGCTTTGTGCCCGTCAAGCAGCCCCACGGCGGCTCCTGACACCAGCCCAGCCCGCTCACACGTCCAGGCTGCGGGACCGGGCGCTTTCCCGAGCCAACACGGCCTCCCCTGCAGCGGGAGCTCGCACTAAGGTGATGGCCAGGATTTTAGGAAGCTAACGCTGATCAGTAGCTAAGCAACCAGAAACAGAAGAAATGGCCATTTGTTGCAAAAAGGAACAGAGTGATTTCTCTTCTTCTGACTCCGATTGCTCAGTCTTAAATTTTAGATAAAGATTAGGGCTTGCAGAAATAGAATTTTTCTCAAAAGAGGGATGGGGAAGTTTTTTTTATTTATTTTTATTAAAGATTGATGATGAAATAATAAGACTTTCAGATTTCGTTTCTTGTATTAACGCATTAAGATTACACAAGTGTTTTTCTTCCTTTTTTTCCCCCCCTCTCTCCAGTAGTATAATTATGCAGGAATGTTTACATACCAATTCTGGTTTAACAGTTTCCATAACAAGATCATCATTTTCTTTACAGTAATCACTGGTCAATTTACTTTTGCGTCCCATCTTCGGTTCATTCTCATTTTGGCGCCCCGAGTGACAAAGACCGTCACTCCTTGCTTACCATTAAGTGTACTCAAACACTTTTGGTTAAAGAAAGTGCTTGGTAAAAAAAAAAAAAAGAAAAAAAGAAAAAAAAAAAAGACAAACATCTTTGAGGGAGGCAGGGATTTTGGTTAATATCAGTTAAAAACAGATTTCTGCAAGCCCTATTAAAGAGTTTTAAAAACAAAATTTAAGATACAAGGGAATTTAGATGAACTGCAGAGGAACAAATACAGAGTACGTTCAGGGCACAATATTCAATAGCTAAAGAGGTGTTTGTTTAAACTGAGTTTATTATTTAGACCCAGCTTTTGCTTTTGTTGTTGAAGAAAAAATAAAACCTCAAACGTGTTCAACAGTAACATCTGTTACTCTGCTACAAGAGCTACGTTCACTCTCCTAAAGTTCTCCTAAAGTTTTTTTTTTTTTTTTTAAACAACCCTTAAAAGCACCAGAACATAAATCTGTCTTAAATTTCTCTCACAATGCTAAGTTTGAGGACATGAAGTTTAGCAACACCCCTCTTTACTGTACTTCAAGATACCTTCATATAGAAACCATAAGCTACATTCTCAGCAGGATACAGAACAAGCTACACGCTTAAATCCACATGCATCAGGATTTTATATACTTCGGCATTTAGACTGCTGTAAATCATATTAAAAAGCAAGTTAACAACATTACTTGAGTGTAATTTGTTGAGATAACATTTGAATCCATAAAATGATTTATGCTTAGTTTGAAGTTTGACATTTGTGTAAACCACTTCAGCTCCAATAACTTTAATAGATGAATATTCTATTTAACTGTTTTCACTTTTATACAAGGCTTCATTCAGGACTAACAACTTAAACCAAACTGACCATGTCAAATATTGAAGTAGTTGGGAAAACCACAGCAACTCAAGTGCAACATTAGCCTGTTACTTATTCCTACCTTCATTTTCCTGAGCCGGGATTTGTTATCATGACACCAAGCCAAGCAAGTCATCGTCTCTTGCCTTTCCAATGATTCTTCCACTTCTTTAGCGGTCAAAAACATTTCAATGTTTACCAGGTCCTTCAAAAAACAAACAAAAAAGACAGGCAGGACTGGTTAAGTTGCACTGATCCTTTACACAGAAATCCATTCTTGAACAGATAGAGGTAGAAAATATAAGGTAGTAGAGCCTGAGGTAGTATAGACTGTTTTGGGGACACCTTTTTATGGGGCAATACTTGTCATACACACATATGTCCTTATAGTATTTTTCAAGGACCACGTTTACATGCAATAACTTATTTTGGTAATGAGATAATGACTTTTTTTTCCAAATCTACTGACAGAACAGAGCTAAAAGTAATGATTAAGCTCTAGAACTTCTCACAGAAGGTGGTAATACAGTTCCCATTCCCAATGATACCTGGGTTTTCAAAAATTGGTCAATGATATCAACTAGAATGCGGAAGTGTCCTTACATTTGCTGATGTGACTAAGAATTACATAAAAGAAGAGAACCTAAATATACTTTATTAGGTATCTACTATTACTGAATTTAAGCAAAATCCTACAATGATTCGAAGTCATCAAAATACTTTCCTCCAATAATTTCTTTAATGGTGCAAGCCCTATCTTCAATTGCTTTAGCAACACAACATAGCTCAGCCTGCAGATACAGAACATCCTACAGACCTAACACTTGCAGAGAAACACCCAGGGAACCACACAATCCAGTACATGTCAAACAGTAATCCAGGACTAAAAGAGCTTGTTAATATAAAAATGAATGTATTGCAAATTAAGTGCACACACACTTCATGGCGAAAGGCTGAGATCTGTACAGTTAAAATATGCTGAATATGATAAATATTACAGTAGCTCTAGCAACAACGTTCCTCTCAGAAATAGATGGCATTTCCAGTTGTTTGTTGAGCCACAAAAAAGCACCAATGTCAGAGTTATCACAGACACATCTTGCATTTCATCAGCCATCCCTCACTTTTGCCACATAAATACAGGAACTCCTAATACCATAGAAAAATAGAACCTTTTTACAAAAATAGGTACAACCCTAGCCTGACAAATCTGAAAATAACTGTACTTTGATATGGGCACACAAGAGCCCTTTCCTTAAAGCATTAAAGTATCACTGCATCATCAAAGCAAGCTTGTCTTCTGAACTGCATGTGTTCTTCTAACAATCAGCATTTGCTTTTCAAGCCAAATCAAAAGAATTTTCCTCCACATGAACTTAGTGGTAGATACATCAAGCATAAGACAAGGCATCTTTTCATCTTGTTTGTTAGCTTTTTATAGTACTTTGTTCTTTTTCTTAAAAAAATACATCCTTATGTTAAGTCAACGTGCTAGTAAAAGAAATTATTATACTAACACATCATTGATAAATGCATAGAGCCCGACCTCCAACTGTGAGCAAAAAAGACTGTAATTGCTGCTGGGAGAGACAAACACTTATAACTCTAACCTCCTTTTGCAAATTTAAAATAAAAAGATTCCATTTGGTGCAGAGATGCTAATTAGGTTTGTGTCTGCCACAGAAGCTAAAGGTTAGCAACTGTCTCTATTAGACAATATACATCCAGAAGACAGAAGAAAACTTCTTTAATTGCTGGTTCTGAAAGGAACTCTTTTAATCACATTTAAATTGCACCAATAAATAGGATTTTCTTCTTCGCTGACTAGATACCAAGTTAGGGAACAATACAAATAAAGCCCTAAGCAGCCCATTTGGAGAGAAATAAGGAGCTTTTGCATTTGATAACAAGCTCCAAGCACACAGATTGATAGAAGAAAAAATACTAAGATACAATTAAGCAATAAACCTTCACAAGAAGTCCATACATCTCTCATGACCCCAGTGCAATCAGGCCATGTTTTCCCCTTTCTCCTTTCTTGGTGGTGGCTAATCCTGACGCTCCTTCTCTGCCATACATTTCACCAGTTCGGAGTAGGGATACAGGGTGAGGAGGAACAACAGAGCTTGGGCTTTATTTAAAAGAGCACAACTCCTCTACACAGCTCAGTACCATTCTTTTTGGGATACTTTTTGGAGAATTGCTTGTATTCCATGTTTTGCAAGAAGCAAAGCCAACCAGTGTTGGCAGTTGTGAGGAGAACTCTACATTCAAGTCACAACACCCATGTTAGGACCCCAAACCAGAGGTTGCCTGCACCAATTCTGCAATTCCCGCACACTTGCACCACCAGGAGCACCCACTGAACATATGCTCACTATTTCCAAAGCAATGTATAATTTAATAAGCTAAGAAAACACTCTTTGTATACTTACATGCAGCTTTAGGTGTAAACAAATTCTCAGTATTAGAGAATTATCCCCACCTGTTTGGCGGGTGCTCAGGAAAATCTAGAAGAAATTCTAGACATTGACTGACATTCAGCGTTATGCCAAATATTTTGTGCCTTCTGTGTAAATTAAAAAGCACTCTGAGATCTTTACTTATCTTCTGCAACAACAGAAAGTTTTCCTTTCTTTCAGGATTTGTTTCCACGTGAGGTTTTAAATAGCTGCAGTTCTTGAATCCCCAGATTGCAGAAGTTCAGGAGAACACTGCAGAGGTCAGTTTTATTATCACACTAACTTAGACCACAAATTTTCCAGCCATCTGTGTAAATTCCTCACCACAGTTGTGGCTAAACTACCTTGCCTCAACTTGCTTCTAGATGTAGAACATCTGACTTGAAAGATGAATTAACATCAAGCCTCCACTGACTTATGCTTCTAAAGCTATCAAAAAATAGTTTCAAGTGGCCCAAAATGGAAAGCAATTCTGGCTTAAGAATCACTGACAACTATGGAAACATTAAAAAGGTGGTGAGGTAGCATATAACATAAGCATTCCTCTTCCTTCTGGTGCAAGCAAGGAAGTACCACCTAGATTTTATCATTTCTGTTTAAAAAATGATTTTGGACTAAAGTCAACCTCACCTCCCTTCTGGGCAGCAGTCACTAAACAGGTATCAGAAGACTAACTATGCAAGCATGGGCTGAATTTTGCCATAAAATGACTATCTAACTACATTATAGCAGCTCTATAACTCCCGAGAAAACCAGTATTTGAGAAAACTGCACCGGAATTCTAAAGACACTTAGGTGAAATCAGACAGACTTTTATTTAAACAAAGAACACTCCTCTCCATCGTCGTGCTCTGCCCCATTTACATATATATAGCTTTCAAAATATCCCCGCTCCTTCCTAAGCGGCAAGTGCCTCAAGGGAGGGAGGCTGCCAACCCTCTGCTTCTGCACAGAACTCCAATTACCAAGGTACAAAATGCTATGAAGAATGAGGATTCCTTTGTGCTTATTCCTACACTCCTGGCATACTGAGCAGTTACATCCCTGCAGAGCACCTATTTTCCAAGGCTGGTTTCTTCACAAGAAGATCCCAAGCGTGCCCATGCCTGTCCCCTCCTGTGAACAGCTCTGCAGTCTCTGGTCAGCACAACCGAGGGCTGATGGAGCAGAGGCCTCCGAGGTGCTTGTTCCTCACCAGGTTTCTCCCCTGAGCACTGTCCTCTTTTCAGCAGACTCCAGCACCTGCCCTGACTGCAGGGCAAGTTGTACACTCACCAACCATCAGGTATCAAAGAATCCACACAGGAGAGACCTGTGAAGCTTTTCTCCACAGCTGGGATGTTTGGAATAAGGCTTGCATCAGCTATAGGACACGCCTGCAGGAAGGCAAGCTCCACTAGAGTCCCAGGACTCCTGGAATGGCTGCTTTGTAATGAAAATAATTGCTGCTTAAAATTAGTTTCAGGAATGAAAACTAAAAGGAACATGAAAAGGTGTCCAGAATTCAATGAGTGCACAGTTGTGCTGGAGCAAGGAAGAGGCAAGAGCTTCACAAGAACATGGTGAAAGTTATTTGAAGAACAGTAGTTGGAAAACAAGATGACATATACAAAAGGCAGCAAGAGGATTTTTAGTTTCATGTGCATTTGAAATTAAATACAGCTATGCTTATTACATAGCTGAAGCAAGTAACAAACTAGCAACCATATATGCACATAGGGGCATTTCTTAAAACTTAAGCAAAGTTTCTAACTTCAGAGTTACTGATACTACTCATATTATACTCCAGTATTTGCACAGTCAACTCTTTCAAAAGATCTCAGGCAAATTTTATTCACCTTGCTACAAAACAACTGCATTTCAGTAGGAAAGGAAGGTATCAAGCTTCAACAACACTCAGTAAATTCATCTTAAAGTTTGCTTCCAGTGATATACATGGAGTTTCTTAATCATGACAGTAAGGCTGGGACTTGCTGTTTAAGCATCTGCGTGGATGCAGGAGACTTTTCTTAAGCCACAGAAGTCTGTTCTCACTTCGAAAAGGGAAATGTCTTTTACATTGTGACTTCACATCAGGTACATTAGAACTTTCAGCTCGAGCTATTCATTTGTTCACAGTAATAACTAAGAGCAATTTACAGATTAGTGTATGTGTAAGAAGTGGAGCTCCTGCTTCACAGTATGTAAAATTTTGAACTTCATTATACAATTTTAAAATACACAATCACTGAACAGTCTGTCTCCTTCAAATGCAAAGCAAGCAGTGGTTTAATTAATTCATTCTCAGATTTAAAGATTTACCTCTTCACTGCGTAGTTTCAGGATCTAGAAACTGGCCAAAATTCCCCCTGCTTATTCTTTTCAGCAAAGAACACACAAAACAGCAACCTTGTACTTCAGCGCATGTCACAAAACACAACAGGAGCAGCACCTCTTCTCCTGCAGAGATGCAGCTCGTGCTTCAATTTCTGCAGCATCCATTTGAAGTTATTAGTTTATGTAAGATATTTTAAGACCTGGAGCAATCAGGTCAATAGTCACCTCCATCAATCTCTAGCCTCACGTGTCACTTGAAGTAGTTTTATTTTATGATGTCTCCAGCCACAAGCCTGGAAAACTGTCATGAAGAATCTGTGATAAAACCCCTTAAAATTTGCATGAACATTTATGCATTAGATTAAGAAATCAGCCTATTTTATATTTGAAGTGTGACTCTAAGAAGGCTTAAAACCAATTGGAAACA